ATTTCCATGTTTCAGAACTTTAAAATTGCCCATCATCAGGCGATGTTAGATAGTGAGTGTGAAAGAATATAAGAAAAAGAAAACATTATTAAGAAACGAGATCAATAAAAGAGATGAAATTAAAAAGGAGATAACGATTGACATACATACATACATACACACACACATATATATATATATATATATATATATATATATATATATATATATATATATATATAACTGTGTATTTGGGCAACAATCCATCTTTTATAAAAGTTGCTTTAAATACAACTGATAAGGTACTGCGATTAAGCAGTTTATTTAATTTTTCTTGTGTTCGTATGAGTGTTTTCTTTTCTGGATATAAAGTGCGTAAAAAATTGTCCAAATATTTCTTTATATCTTAGCGCTTTCGGCTATTCTTTTAGCTAATGCTGAGAATGATTTTTATTTTGACTGAATGTATGTATCTAGAGTTATAGGAATGTTTCATTTTCTAAATCAGTTATGTTGCGAGTGGAGTTTATTAGGCTTCCGTGTGTGTTTAAATGGATGCTAATTGAATTACAAGTATGTTGAGGATGGAGCTCATAGCTCAGTTAGGATTCGTTTAAACACAAATCGGGAAACGAGCAGTCACTACGCCCTATCTTCATATATATATATATATATATATATATATATATATATATATATATATATATATATATATATCTGTGTGTGTGTGTACTTTTTAATCATTTCACTCCAAATAAGGCAACAAGACCACTGAGACATAACGGATTTCTGAGTGTGAAAGACTATAACAAAAAGAAAAACATTATTAAGGTGACCGAACAATAAAAAAAAACAGTTATTAAGAAGACGGTAGAGAAAGATTGACATTGCATTTAAATTTTTAATCTTGATTGGAAAGTAAGAAGCTGAAAGAAAGTTTCACAAGTAAGAAGTGCGAGAGAAGACACTGTTATCATAGAACTTATGGTTACATCGAGCCATTTCAACTGTAAAATGGTGAAATATCGCTGCCAATCTATTACCGCTCTTAAATTCCTAAAGTTTAGGTATCATAGAGTGAAAGTGATATTTATTCTGTTTAATACAGAAATGTGGCACATGGCCGAAGAGGGGATTGGGAAAGGACGGTCTTCTTCTGTCTTAACTATAACTTAGCTAGCCACAAACGCTGACCCAATCGCACAAACAAAATTCCTTACACCAAAACAACACATTCATACGTACCTTTCTTACTACAATCACCATAATACCTCTTTGTCTCTATGAAAATACAAACCAGTCCCCATACTTACAATTCATTGTCTGTGGGTGGGGGAATAAAACAACAATTCTAAAAAAACTAGCACAAATGAGTATTTACAATATGAATGCAAAATCATAGAGGAAAGTTCACCAGAACAATTACCATGAAAGTATTTATAGAAAAGGCACAGGGAAACTACATTACGGCGGTGGGAAATTGATTGAAGGCAAGATGTCATGACAGTACCAATAACATTGCAAATTTTTCTTTGGATTTTATTAAGAATCTCTAAATATATAGAGGAGCACTGGATCATATGTGGCTGCAATATTCAAAGCGTGGGTGAATAGTAAACTTATAAATATGTAAGGCTGTAAGAAAAAATGTCTGGCACGACTCTGTGAATTAACTTTCCTAGTAACAGGCCTAGAAATTGATTCAATATAATCTTTGCACATCATGTCAGCAAGTTAACTCGTAAAGTGCAATGAACCGGACATTGTAAATTTTAAACAATATATGTTTTTCATTAAAAACGACAAACAAGGATTATTCTATTTTTGAATTTCTTTTTCATAACTTTTTTGTTCACGTACAAAATAATGATAATTGCTGTGAATATAAATATGGTCCAAATGCTTGTTATCAAGTGATTTCCCTTATATTTTAAATCCGACTTGCCTCCATCTTCATATTTGAATACATTTCAAAGCTCGGTGTGGCCGGGAGTATGAATGCCAAAATTCTTTCACAAGTTGTTGAATCCATTTAAAACCGCAGTTACAACGCTGAAGAAAATTTTGTTTCGTTACGGATTTTATGGTTAGCTCTTCTAATATTTGATATCTTTATATTTTTTAAAATTAAAACTATATAGTATACACGTGTTTCCTTTATGTTTATTAATTAGGGCGTGGATTGCTGTGTGATCCATGACATGGAAGTATAGTGCTTGTGTGACTTCTGTACAAATTTGATGATTGTGTATGCTATGGGACACAATTCCCCGGTCATAGCGAATTTTACATGTCCTTAATTTAATAGTAAACTGTTAATATATTTGTCGCGTTCAACTGAGAATGTATACCAGAATGTAATACTCCGAAAAGTTGCATTTTTATTTAATTATTTTGGTGTTTTTGGTTTCAATAGGTTACTGTGTTATTATTTTTATTACATTCTTTGTTGTTGTAGCGTTTTTTGTCGACAACATAGAAAATTAGTTTTTTACGAGTACTTGATATTTGCAGAATAAATTCATGGGGATAAGAGGTAAGTTTGGCCTATTGATCAATTTTTTAATAACGGCTCTTTTATAGCTGAACAGGAATTTGCTGTAATAAGTAAGGTGGCAGGGATTTGAATTAGTGGCTTTTTAATATATGGAGAATGGGAAGGTATAGCTATTGGAGTCAACGAAACATTTAAAAAAGGGATTTTATTCTTTATACTAATTTCGAAGGTCAAATAAAGAAATTATTTTTTGAAACAGGATATTAAATTTCTATTACGTCTTAGCAAATAAAAATATCATCGATATTTTTTGCGTAGATTTTAGTGAAATGTTTTTAGTAATATTGTATTTTCTCATCAACTAGTTGGAGAATAAACTTCAGAGGTGACCCTATCGAGATCCCGTTCGTCAGATATTTCCTTCGTGGTCATAGTATAGAAACTTTAGTAGGAGTACAAAGCAGTAAATTACACAGAGGGTTGGGTGCTCGTGTACGGATTCAAGGATAACACGTTGTATTTTGTCATACAGGGGATTAATAAAAATATTTTCAGCGTTGAAGGATGTTACTAAACCATTGCTAAATTTTATAGAATGTAGGATATATAGTGACTGGTATGTGGACGCTCTTGTGTAATATTTGTTATGTAAATGTAGTATGATGTTAGTTTTCAATGTTTTTGAGAGTGTGTATATAATTGGGGATTGGAGAAATAATGGGTTTCAAAGAGGTGCCAACTTTATCAATTATAACGTTATCGTAAACGTTATCGTCTTTTGGCAGTTTTTATAATCTATTTCAGCATTGTTGATTATGATAATTTTGTTGACGTAAGATATAATTTCTTTAATTTTCAGGTGGTTGAGGAATTTTGTTAATTTTGTGTGGCCTTGATGACTTAGGATTACTCAATTATTATTATATAATAAGCTTTCTGTTTCTGGGATTTTGCAGCTTTATTTTCGATATTAAGTAACTCTTGTAGTTTGGGATATGTCATGAAAATATTTTTCGACATGGAGTTACAAAATTGATTTAGCACTTAGTTTCGAGGAAAATAAGGAAATCCTGTTCATCAGAGACTTTGTGGTCTGAGAGCTTGATTAAATTAGCTTAGGAGTTTAGCAGGATGATTTTACATTTACAAAAGTTTTTAAACTTTTGTTTGTTCCAAAAAGACAAAAAAAGGATTGTTTTTATATTTTTAGTTAATTTTCTTGCTTACGTATTAGCCCGTATGAGTCTACTCCGACCCTGTCCGAATTTTAGGTTTGACTATCAAAGAAAGAAAGAAAGAAAGAAAGAAAGATGAACAAACAAAATCTCCTTCAGCGTCTGTGGTTTAAAAAATATATATTCAAAACTGACGACACATTGAAGCAGTGAAGAACCTAGCTTACCAGTCACATGCAAACCACTTCATGATGAAGTATAATGTCTACACTGAATTTTAAAACATGTTTGAATATGAGAAAATGACACGTCAACACATGACCGCGATAGGGGAGTAGAGCATAGTTAAAAGATTTCAAAGGTTAGCATTATCTATATTCGGGATACATTTATATTCATTGAAGCCAAACACACATAAATATAAATTTATGTAAAAAAAGTAATCCATTCTTTTTTTTAAGGAAATACCTATTAATAAAAGGCAGCTGTCTTAATGCACACGGCACAAGTACCATATATATATATATATATATATATATATATATATATATATATATATATATATATATATATAAAAGGTTAAATTTTTTCTTTCTCCCTGTCGTGCAAGGATAGCCTAATGATGTCAATTAGGTCAGGTTTCGACTTGAAGCAATCAGACGTCTAGTCACACAGAAGAGCTGTGATATAGCGAAACAGTCTGTGATTGACAAATATATATATATATATATATATATATATATATATATATATATATATATATATATATATATATTTAAAAACATCAGCAATCAAAGCTTAAATAAAAGCGTTATGAGATCGGTTGAGCTGTGCGTCTAGACACGTCAAACGCCAGAAATTTCAACAGTTAGCTTTTCTACATCTTCAGCTTTTTCTCTCCTCGCATAATTATAATCAACGTTTATGTTTATATCTCATCCCGCCCCCCCCACACATACATATATATATATATATATATAATTCCATCAATAAAAAGATTACTTTAGTATGATGACGTCCTTTCAGAGAACGAAACACGTTACATAGAATTTTTCCACTTTCTCATTCAGTTACCTAACATTGTGCTTTCCACGTGCCATGTTTAATGGATGTCAGTTATCAGTTATCTCCTGTTAATTTCCCTCTGAAATTTCTCCACTGCCTTAACCGGGTATTGAACTTACACTCTTTGGGTCCTGTCACTGGATCTAACCAACGCCGAAACGTTGTAATAAATATGGCAACAGAGATGAGGGCAATAGTCCGAATAATGTAAATAATATATATAATACCTCATCTCAGAAATATAGACAGATACTGAAATTTGTATATCATTCCATATATATGGCTTACGCCCATATCACGCTGAAACACAGGTTCCCGTACAACCACTGAAGTTACGTGACGTTAAGCCTGGTCAGTAGCTAGATGGGTGACCGCTTAGGAATACCAGATGCTGAAACTTGGATATGCAGTTGGTGTAATAGATAACGGCTTGGAATGTGAAATCAGAGAGCCGAGTTCCAATTCCAGTCGCGTAAATACCATGAAGAAAGCTATGAATCAACCTTTTCTCCCGCAACTATGGAGCAGTTAGTAAAACTTGTATTACTAATTCATTAATATCTCCTAAAAATTTTTACACTCTAGAGAAAATATTTTCTGGCTTTAAATAACCCGCAAAAATTTATAAGGGGTAAAAAAAATCAATCAATCAATCAATCTCTCTCGCTCTCTCTCTCTCTCTCTCTCTCTATCTATCTATATATATATATATATATACATATATATATATACATATATATATATATATATATATATATATATATGTATATATATATAATTGTTTTTTATATGTATAATCATCGCAAAACCGGAATTCCCATGTTTCAAAACTGAAAAAAAAAAAATTAAAATTAAACATAAATTTCGTTCCATTATCAAGCCATGCTAAGAATAACACACACACACACACACACACACACACACACACACACACACACATATATATATATATATATATAGTTTTAAGGTAATTTATAGGTTAAAGTACAGTATCAGGGATACAACGTATGTAAAAATAGAAGTGGACATTGAGGTCAACACCCAGCGGCAAAGTCTGTTTCATGCAATGCTATTCCAGCCACGTTCCTTGACGGGGGTCGGAATAAAAGCTACTATCATACAATATACATAACACGAATCACTTAAAAGACAATCGTTGAAAGAAATTAACAACACACCTCTTGACAATGGCTAAAGAATTGTTCGAAAGAGCTTGGGGCAATAGACACTACGGAAATTTTTTTTACTTCCCTATCTTTGCCAAACATAAAAATTTAAGAATACTAGAAAATCTCAGTTAAAAAATTCATCAAATTTTCCTTGTTTCGCGCATGCGTGTTTTTGATTTTTATGTTGTCGACTGTACAGTATAGTAGGATCAGCTGGGAACCGTCTGTGAGGAAAAATCATAACACAATTCACTCCGCCAGTTACGGCAGCTCGGAAAAATAACTCTGATCGTTCTGATAAAAAAATCACTTTTGAATGTGTTGGTGAAGGCATCAGACTCAACACGGAGGCCTACTTGAGGAGGTAGTACTGGGTCAAGAGGATCGCTGTTGGAAGACCCTGTCTGGAAACAGGACTCTGCACCATGCAACACAAGCAAGGAAAGCCAGGCATGGCTGTCAGACAATTTCTGCAACCATATCACGCCTTACATCTGACCACCTAAATCCCCAGACTGCAACCCCTTTGATTATTATATTTGGGGTGCAGTTGAACGAGAGACCAACAAAACTCCTTGTAACACCAAAAATAAATTGAAGGCTAGGACTATAGCAGCACTCACCAAGTTAAACAAGGAGGCCGTTCAAGTTGTCTGGAGCCCGTGTTTGAAGCCAATGGCGATTTTATTGAATAAATTTACTCATTTTCATTTCAAAATATTTTTCTGTAATTTTGGTAAATATATCTGTTAAATCAGGTCAGAATTTTTATTTTTGCGGCATTAGACGACAATTTATTCATTGCAGCCTCCATATATATATATATATATATATATATATATATATATATATATATATTGTCCCCGAGTCCGTGTTGGAGAAGACTTATTTCCCGCCCTCTGCCTCTCTCTCACAGGCGAGATGTCGCGAGCCTCTCACTCTTCTATAACTACTTCCATGGAAAGTACTTGGATGGACTATATTCTTTGGTTCCGCCAATCGTAACCTTCCTGTCAGGACGCGCCATACCACTCACATTGTAGCAAACCACCTACATTCCCTGCGTATTCCGTCAGTGAAAAGTGAGTTCAACTCGAACAGCTTCTTCCCGTGAACGACTGCGCCCTGTGGAAGAGAGACTTCCTAAGATGACGTTTCCCTGATCACTATGATTTTAATCTGTTCACGTCTAGAATTAACCGTTATCTTTCTCTCCTATCCATATAAACTGCCCCTCAACGTATCCCTCTACATAGAGTGGCCCTCGAGCATTGTACAGGGTGAACCTTGCTGTAAAAGAAGAAATATATATCTATAAGTAGAGGAGTATATTAGCTTTAATGCCACTGAATCCATTTTACGACACAGAAGACTTGTAGATAGTCATTTTCAATTGATGTCAAGCCAACTCTAACTTATCTTGAAGTGTCTCCGCACGCAGCAGGAAATGTCTGCCAGTGCACCTCTGTATATTTTTGTGTGTAAGTGTGGGAGGATTAAAGCAGCAATGGATATCTATCCGTATGTCTGTATTTATGTCTATCTATGTTTTGTGTGTGAATGTGGCTGTTATTTTAAATGTGGACGTGCAAGATTGTTTCTTCAAGGGTAAAAACTTGAGTGCATGTATGGGCTTGTGTGTGTAAGTGTGTAAACATGTATATATGCATGTATGTGTATATTAATGTATATAGCACATGTGTCTATAAGTACTTATGATTATGCGTGGGCGGAGGACAGATGTAGTTAAATACCTGTTCTTATTTTCTTTCTATAGTTTTCCTGTTTTATTAAAACTGCCTTTTCTTGTTTTCTCTCTCTCTCTCTCTTTCTCTCTCTCTCACACAGACACACACAGACACACACACACAGACACACACACACAGACACACACACACACACACACACACACACACACACACACACACACACACACACACACACACACACACTTTATCCTGATTTTGTTTCTTTTTCGATTTTCTTTCATATCTTCTCTAGTTCCACTAAAGGGACCCCCAAGAACGAGAGAAACTCGTTTTCCCCTATTCTCGTCGACTTCCAACCACTACTAGCTCTCCTCCTCCTCCTTTTCTTTCTTTTGTCTGTAGGGATACATATTCCATACGCCCCAGGCCTGTCAAATTGTATTACATCAGAGCCTCAAGGAGGACGAAGGGTAAAGAGAAGGATGACGACAAAGAAAAGAAAGCTAGACTTGAGGAATGGCCATCCCCAACGGAGTGCCGGGCATATGTCTTTTGTGACTGCTACCCGTCCGCATCGCACGCCTCGTTTCTTGGGACACATCTTATCAAAATAAACGCCCTTACAACGTTGAAGGAATAACAGCGAAATAAAATAAATACACAACCATTCTAGTTTGTTTAATTTATTTGAGTTGGCTCCCTACATTTCAGAGATTCGAAGGGAGATGTAAGAGGAAAGAGAAGTGGGAAATTAGACGACGAAGAGAAAGAGAAAATAGGGAGACATCAGTCGATGGAATAGGATGAAATCAAAAGAGAGAAGAGGAAAAGAGGAACATTTAAGAAATTGGTTGAAGAAGAAATAGAAATCAGAAGAGGAAACCGAGAGAAAAGGGAGGCGTTAGTTGGGAGGGTAGAAATAAGAAAAAAAAGAGAGAAATGTGATGAGAAAGAGAAAGAGAAAAAGAGAGAGATTTTGAGAGGAAGGAGGAAATGGCTTTCCGATTTATTGTTTGTTTATTTGAAATCCTTATTATTGCTACCGTCATGATTATTTCCCTTTATTATTAATGAATTCTTCTGATTCAAATATCGATACACATAAAAGATAATTAGTTTTTGTTATCGGTCTGTTTTTATCTAAACATTACTCTATGTGTGGGTGTGCAGGTTACAAATGGATGACAAAACTTCGTACTATTTTTATGATTTTATGAACTCATTATTATACACAGTTGATACTAAGTTCTTAGTCATAACTATTATTATTATTATTATCATAATCATTATTATTATTATTATTATTATTATTATTATTATTATTATTATCAACCCATACTGGAAAAAGAAAAGCACCATTATTTGATTAACGTCTTAATGACAATAATCCGCTACTTTTCCTCAGGAACCAAAGAATTGGTAAAAGTTTCATCATAAATAAATACTATTAGAAACACACTTGGGAGAAGAAAATCTATTTCAAATTAGGATTTCCAAAAATTTTATTGCAAACTATTTTTAGTATATAAAGTTCAAAAGTAACAAAATAGAATGTTTTCCAAGTATAGAATCGGTAAGCCTCATGTATAATATTCAACTGAAAGAAACTATAATTGAAATGCAGCGGAAGAAAGCCGGGTGAACTGAATTGTGATGCCCTGTTTGAGTCCCATTGCTGGCTTTCGACATTTTATTTGCATATCGGACATAGCGCCATGTATGCAAGTTTAACACTCAAAGAAAATTAAGTGAACATTTGAGATAATAATATCTATAGAAGTCGATGAAATAAGTGAATAAATATATTGAAAACAAAGTAAAAACGATTCCGAAAATCATGCTTCTAAATTGTTAGTATTTACCGACAAAAATGTTCACGTCCAATAATTAATCAAATGAGCATCTTCATCTTTATTTTTGTGAATAACAAGTTTCAGCCACTGATATCTTCCTTAGTTGTGTGCCACATCTAGAAATCAGAAACTAATATATTTTCTATTTCTCTACTGGTTAAACAGAAAAAAATATTGGTTTTTATCTAATAAAGTTTTGAATAAAAACTTCCTTCGACTACATATTTTGCTTCAGTATTCTGTGATTTGACTTAAATATTTATTCACCTTAGCAGAAAAGCAAAAGAGTAAATCATTCGGGAGTATGGGACTTGCAATATAAGTGAATAATGTCGTAAAAATTGGCAGCGTTCCATTATGTGAGACAAGGCAATATCAACTTTTCGATTAAGTCGGGAGGTTTAGAAAAAAAGTATGAAAATGCGCGGACATCTAGGAAAGATAACTAGAATGTAGACTAAGCCTCTCTCTTTCTCTTTCTTTCTGTACACACACACACACACACACACACACATATATATATATATATATATATATAAAGAAATATAGTTTTAAGGTGTGCTATATTTTATATAAGATAAAATGCTCAATATCAGAGATAGAGCGTATGTAAATATAAAAATGAACATTGAAGTCAACAATCAGAGGCGACAGGCTGTTTCAT